ACCGGACAATCAGTCCCTCGTTTTTTGTTAGTCAATAGAAATGTTATACATTTTTTTAGTTTTATTGGTCGTAATTTCACGTAGGGATATTTACGGGCGGCCGCGGGCCACCTAATTAAGTTGTTAGGCGACTCCAGGACCTTCGGCATTGTTTAACAGAGCCGGCATTGTTCCACGATAAGGTTTTGTGAGGAGTTACCTTTCAATGTATTTGTATTGTTTGGACAGTAGCGAGCTCTTTAATGTGGATGGGTATTTTGGAGTCTTATTTTATTCTATTGATGAAGAGAGAAGATTACTTTGTGTATCATAAATTTTGGATACTTAATAAAATGTTACGTGTTTGTTACGAACCTTTCTTTCTACCGTAGGGACTATTGTCTAGGTAATATTAAAGACGATACACCAAAATGAAATACGTTTACGTACGTGTATGTAAATGTAGAGAAAAAGTAAAAAGTTGCACACATCGTTTGAAGATACAAGTGGTGGCAGGTTGTTGTACAAAATCGCTTACATCCTTTTTGAAACGTTCCCGTTTCATTACGGATTCAATATTGAACCTTATGAAATGTTTTTAAAGATTATCTAGAAAGCATTTAAAAATATATCAAAACAATACCTAATTATCAGTGGCGAAGGGTCTTATAACACCTATCCTATCGGCTTATCGGAAAATGCTTTAGTATGCATCTGCTAAAACGTTTCGTCAGATCCAGGTAAACATCCTTTTTATATTTATTTTGAACGCAATTAATTAAGTAACCAAATGAGATACTGAACGAATTTATCCCAACATAAAAAAGTTTAGTTTTTATTGCTGTTGCGCAAGGTGATATAATTTATGATGATTCTTTTATAACCGAGTTCACACAGTCTCCAGCGGACGACGGACGTGCTATACTTGTCTGCTTCCTTAATTACGTGACGTCGTAGTTTCCACTTCAGAAATTATATTTATGCTTTAACATGGAATGGCTATCGACACTCGGCTCCCTATGCATTATCGATCACTCCACAGTGCAACTCGTGCAATTCAGACTATAGTCTACCTCACATCGTGTCAATTCGTGTCGTGTGCGTGCCTTAACAACCGCATGCTTGAGGATTTAATGGCGACTGTTTGTGACGCGGTTAGCGTGGCTAATGTAATAATTACATAATGTAACTCATCGGTAAGATAAGAAGAAGAACATATACTCGTAATCCGTCCATAAATCACGCAAAATGAAATTGTAAATCCGGGCACGTTTTTTTTAACACACATCTCACTAGGGAAACTCTACATGGCGGGTGCCATGAACACACACAAACAACCACAAATTACACCCAAACTCACGAGAGAACTAAATGTAGGCCATACAAACATATCTCCCGGCCGGGAAACGAACTCGGGACCTTTGCGTGGCAGACCATAATGGTAACCGTACGGCCACAGAGGCAGTTAAAAAGATTCTCTTTATTTTTATGCCCAAAATGTTGTAAATGTGCACCATATCCACGTCATCACTATTTCATGATGATGTTTTACTTTACCGTCGCGAGAAATATTACCTGTAATCATTACATAAACAAAACACGAATAAACAAACTTGCCGCCACAGGGATTCGAATAGTCAACCTCGCAATTGACAAGCTATATTTTTTTCTCACTGGGCTACCAACGCTCTTTATATTTGCATATTATTTCATATTCAAAATATCCACTTTTAAGTCACTTTAAACACAAATTACAAGACGAGAAGATTAAATACATTTATTTTCCGTCTAAGTTTAAATTTACGCCATCAATTGTGGGCCCCTTTCATAAAAATTCATTAAGGACCACCCGGTTTTAAAAGGAACAAACAAGAAAAAGGATTGCTCTTTCTTTTGTGCTGCAAGATCAAGGACATTTCCTTGTGAACTGGTAATAATGACGGTAAACTATAATATACGGCCAGTAAAAACTGGTATTATGTTTTATTGAGATGGTTGGTTTGTGTAATTAGTTTTAGGAGCGACCACGATACACGTACACTATAAATAGTATGGTAGGCATACAGGAGTTATATACCAAACGCAACGCAAGTGCGCAAAAAGCTATATTGGAGTTCGATTCCCGGGCCGAGAGAAATATTTGTATGGCCTACATTTATTCTCTCGTGAATTTGTGTGTAATTTGTGTTTGTCTGTGTGTGTGTCCATGGCACCTGCAACACATGGTTTCTCTAGTGCGGGGCTATGTTGAGTGTGTGGGCGTTATATATTATATATATATTTCGCGATTGCCACACGTTGGAAACTGGAAATGGAACTATTTTATTTTATGACAACAACCAGCCGGGACGACAAGTCATGAGCCTGCTGGTGAGCGACGCTCCTGTCGATAATAGTTATAGTAGCGAGAACTTTAGAAAGCAAAGATCTGAGGAACACTGCCACTGCGTCCGTCACCCTGAGACATAAGTTAAAGATCCCATATGCCTGTAATTTCACAAGCACCTTTACCCTTAAAATCCGAAACGCAGCAATGTTCACATTATTGCTTGGCGGCAGAAAGGAACCTTACAGCTACTACAATATTTTTTTTGGATCTCAATCTCGTATACATATTTGTTTTATTTTTTGTCAAACATATCTGTCCCGATTATGGCTAGGCGACTACTTTTAAATTCAATTTGTTGTCTCCTCTACTCAGCTAGAATAAGAGACGTGTCACCCGCATAAGTGAGCGCTTGCATCCTGCTTGTCCTCGAACCAAGTTCCTTCCGGGACAACGGGAAGTCAATATTTATCTATTTACTCATATACCGAATAATCTTTGTAATTTAAACCTATTTTTAAAATATTGCGATCTACGTAATAGAATACTCGTTTATTTGTAATGTGTATTCATTATTCAAAGAGCTTAGATTAACTCTTGATGTAGGTTTAATATTTGAATAACTTGCAAATATCAACTTATAATAAGGGACTCTCGAACCCGAACTGTTATAGCCGTCAAATAAAATTCGCCAATAATAAGCGATATCCATGCAAATGTACGCCGAAAAAGCCTACGAGCGGATAATAAAGCTATTTCATTTTTGCCAAAAGTAATCAGAGCTCTGACGTAACACTACGACCAATATCTAAGCTCATACATATAGATACTTTGATCAAAAATTATAGAGGTCAAATAATTACAGGTCTACGAAAATTGGCCACTTAACTTTCGCAATCGAAAATGTTGGCCGGCACTATAAATGATCCAATTAATTCGGGCAGATAGCACCCCTCAATTATTTGTATATGGTAATAGATTTGTCATAAATTTTATTTATTGTTTAGAATCATGTAATGTCATTAAATTTTATCGAAATATCATTACCGAAGCCTATTAAAATGTTGACCTATCATAGCCTATTAACACCACATGGTTTGGATATTGATTATGCATAACTGGTTATAACATTTACGTATGGGACATGAAGCACCCATGCAGGAAACATTGTCTTAAATCGGTCAATTAAACGAAATGAAAACGTAGAATGGTAGATATAGGCAGTTGGCTCGGGTCGACACCAGAATACTTGATGTGAGAACAATCGAAAGCAAATTTATCATTAGCAATGCTGAACAACTTTATCATTTTAATTCAACAGGATACCATTCGGTTCAAAGGCACCGCGCGACGCAGCCGTAATTCAAAATCAGTGGAACAAAAACTTGCTAAAGGTGCCATACTCGGGCATACTTGTCATGCGTACTGTCAAGACTAAATTAAAATGCAATTACGAGCGCACCGGACGTTTAAAAAACTACTGATTAATTTATTTTATTTAAGAATTGCTGATCGAGGTAATGACATTCGTCAAGGAGTTATTAGCCGAGATCATTTCTCATTGTCGGATTTTAATAAGTTCATTTACGTTGTAACATTGCGAATACTTTTAAATAGCGTAAACTTGAGGCACAGATTTAATACAGAGTTCTAAATTAACAAGATCATTATTTTCTTTTAATTATCATTACCTATCTGCTAATAATTTACGTGCTAATTCTTAGTTTTGCCTCTTACATATTTGCCTACAAATGAACATACTAAAATGTTGTATAAAAAAGACATTGATAATTATTATTTGTTGTTTTATTGTTTGAAATTTGCACAATAATCAACTACAATAAAAAATTAAACAACTAACCGTAAATATTATAAAAAATTGGATGTGTGGTTTCGAGTTTAAGATATTCTTTTTAGATATTTTTTTGATAATTGTTTCGATAGGATCGAATCGATAAATTGTGTTTGGGATACACATGGCGCAACACTGCTAGTGGTGGCGTTTTGTTTCTCTATTTTATTCTATAATTATCAAAATAATATTAGGGAATATTACATAAAAAGTTTTGTTTTAATAAATGTTTCAGCTTATCATGCCATGCAAAGCTCCACAAACATTCTTTCGATTTTGAAAGCCGGTGGTCGATGAAAAATTTAAAACGTCAAAGTCAATCAAGTGCATATAAGGGCAGAGGCACACGATGCGGCGCGCTGTGTAGTCCGCGTAGGATTCCAAGCACGTTCGACAGACGGAAGCGGTTACGGACGGAGAGAGCATTGGTATGCAACAAGATGCACCAACTGCCACAAACTGTTGATCACTATGCGCTTTTTGATCGTCACCCGATAACAAGGTTGCTTTTGCCGTGTAAAGGCAGACGAACGGATGCTAATTTTACTTTGTTGTTAAGCTAAAGTGTTTCATTTGTACAGTAAATTATTCCATGTAACTTTACAATACGCACTTATTAAGTACGCAAACGAAATTTTTTATGGCTGCTTTAACACATAAATATTGAGTGGCGTTGTATCCCACTTGTTGTAAGATATATTAAAAGTCTTGGACGTGTTGATAATATAGTATATGTAGATATATTGTTGACATGGTTACGTACAGTTTAAATATTCTACAACATATCTCATGAAACGACTGTTTTGTTACCGGTATGTTATAAATTAAATTATAATTTCTGACCTTGAACCCAAAGCTGATCTACTCTGGAATGTATCTGCGCGGACTTGAGGCCGACGCAAAAGGTGGACAGCACGAGAACGGCGACGAACAGAACCTTCCCCGCGTCGCCCTGCAGAAAGCACCCGAGCACGAACAGCTGCTCCTGCAACCACGCTCGAATCCACAGCGATGATCGCCCGCCCTCGATGTTACCCTGTGGCAGATAACAGACTATGTTACCTTGTGTCAAACATATGACGAGGTCACCTTGTAGCAAACAACAATGTTACCTTGTGCCAGAGTACTTAACCCCGCAGTATTTATTTATTTTGTTTTATTTGTTTTATTTATTACATATTGCTTATAGTCAACCCAAACGCAATAGTAAGACTTACAGCTAAATGAACAAACAATATCAAGTAAATTACAAAAATAAATACAATATGAAAATTGATAAAATTATAAATAAAATACCATAAACAATAAATTATTACAGTTAACGTTAATGAAAAAATAGATAAAATCCATTTTAAATCCATTTTTGAAACTAACACATAATACCTATTACTTAATGCTGCAGTCTCCGGTCAAGGACTCCAGATAGCGTCCTGCGGAAAACATGAATTTTGATTCCGAGCATGCAAAAAGGTCCAACGAGGAGTCAAAGTTAAACAACAGATTTAGATACTTAAGTGCTCGGGGCAGAGGGGCCATCTCACTCACTTTACATCGTGTGCTAGGTACTGCAAATAACCTCATTCTATGAAGTCGCACCAGATTACTTCTAGGTACCATAAAGCCTACCTTGGACAACAAAAATGGGTTGTATATTATTCCCCGTACGAGACGAAACATATAAGTTACAAGAGCCAGTTTGCGTGTCACTTCTAGCATTCTATAATTTACTAAAATAATACGTGTAGTACGTGTCATTTGATATCTAACCCTACCCTAATTGTACATTGTAAAGACATTTGGCCTCCTTTCAGTTATGACTAAGTTCATAGAAATGAATGAATACAATGTGAAGATTGTATTATCTTCTATCAACATAAGAATTGAACTGTTTATGAATGAATACGAATAACAAATAACTAATCGAAAACATTCAGATCGTCGTCACCATGGATAAAAAACCAGTTCGCACAAATATGTATCCCGAGTATGCAGTACAATGTAGGACAAACAAGGAATGCCATAGACGTTCAAACAGAACATCAATAAACTGGCATCGAGTTTCAGTTTATTTACTTATCAGTGTCATCTCTACAATGAACAGAATCCATTCCTTAGCGATGTGTCACTAACTTTTACTTTGAAATCTCCGTTCCCTAATTGAGTCGTCTAAAGACGTGCTTTAGTTTCTCACTTTGAACATTTAGTAGCGGAAACTATGTTTTCGTAGCATAGAATAGCAAAAAAAGCAATAAATATTACAATGCTAATAAAAACAGTTTCAATTATTTTAACTAATAATGTAGTGTGTTTTCGGGATATACTCATAAAGACACGTTTCATTAAAAATCTCGAAAACATTAATCACGCACAGTAGCCATTCCTAAAATGCTGTATCATCGCATTCGGTTCGTATTTTTTGGTTTTGGAAGTTTTATTTTTTGTTGTTTAGTTGGTCGCGGTGGTAGTGGTAATAAGAGCGAGGTTTAAAGAAATAATTTCGTGGCGATTGTGATTAATGCAGGCCGGCGAGCGGCGAGCAACGGGCGGCGTAGCGGCGCGGGCGCTCCCGTGGCGCCACACTCGCCTGGAGCCTTGCCATCACTTCATAGGGTAACCATGCATTGAAAATGGAAGTTCATAGACAGTTTCTTAAATGTTACAGGTAATATTCAATCATCATAATCATCAACCCATTTATATGTCCCACTGATGACCACAGGTCTTTTTTTTATGAAACCAAGTGACGGGCCGAACAAGTCGCGCACCTGGTGGTAAGTGACACCTGTCCATAACAATTGCAGTACAGTGGTACTGCAATTGCTTCAAATCACATAAATCTGATGGACACTGCCATGCCATTGCGCCCGACACACTGAGACATAAGTTGACAAGTCCCATGTGCATAATTTCACCAGCACACTTACCTTTCTTGACCGGAACGCAGTAATGCTCACATTACTGTTTGGCGGCAGAAATAGGTAAGTTGCAGTACTTACCTCGACGAACTCTTTCACAAGGACCTCTACCGCTACTAAATCTCCTTTCAGCCGAGGGTTTAGGCCATAGTCCGCCACGCTGGTCCTATGTGGGTTGTGTATTTCACACGTTTTGTTGTGAACCTTATCGACATGCAGGTTTCATCAAGATGTTTTCCTTCGCCAAAAAATTGATGCTAAATTTCAAATTAAATTTCTCACATAAATTCAAAGAATCATAAATTCGAACCCACGGCTTATGTTGAAAGGCGGTAGGTTAGTTAGGTTTTTTAATTATTCAATACATGATGGGAAATTCAATTTTGTTGTGTTTATATCGTTTTCGTAATCGAACGTTAAAAATCTATGTAATCTATTGGAGTATAATCGTCAGTTTCAGGATAGTCTCATAAGATGTGTTTTAGAATAAAAAATATCCACTATAAATATGCTAAATGCTGGCATTCAAACATTCCACTTTAAATTTCTAATCATCACAATAGTTTTTAACCATTATCATATATATAAAGAGAGTGAGAGAGAGAGAGGGATATATAGAGATTCCCAAAAGGAAGATGGATCATGGTAACCCGAGGCAAGCGGCCAAACTTGAAGCGTCCACTAATTGCATAATAATAACTCAATCGGTGCGCCTGCGCCGTGAGTTGAGGCGATTACGCGACGTCTCTCTCCGCACTGATAGTCCATTCTGTTTAACTATACCGGCCTCTATTCTTTACAAAATCATTTTCAAAACAATTTTGCTATTAGATGAAGAGTAAATGTGGAACGTTCACAATACGGCGACTGATTGTTCGTACGAAAAATGTAGAACTAACATTTGCATGCAAAAGACATAAACGCAGACATCTTTAGGTCAAATCATATATTTTTATGCAAGTTCTTGGTTTTCATAAGTATTATTGTACCTACTATAACTATATTTCTCTACCTACCTATTTAATATTTCTCGTAAGACTGTAATATTTACAGTAACGTTAAAATTCCATTATTACAGTAACAACTGTGCAGCCGCAGCCTGCAAAGACTGGTCATTTACGTAATTATTGCGGTAATGTGAATTTGCTTACTACAAATCTCGTGTACGCTAGGTACATGTATTTATCTCGTGTAAGCTAGGCTAAGCTGGGTATAAATGCCATGGTAGTAATAGCAAAATGTAATATTTTTCCTAGCTTTTTAGATGTTGAGTGCGGTGAAAGAGATTTGGCGAAATATTTAATCAAGTGCCTCGGTGGGGAGGGCTGAATATCTGTGGCAGTGGCACAGCACCTCTTGCGAGAACGAAACGCGACCCCAACACGACAGGGCAATTAAAGCATCGTTAGCGACTTGAGCGAATTCCTCAGTGTTTATTTTCAATCGGCGGTTCTGAGCCACGCCATTGTTCGCGGAGCGAGTTCGATGAACCGTCACTCGCTTCCCGCCGAAACAGACTTGTTTAGCTTCTGACCGTAAATAAATAATCGTAGCAACAATAATGGCAGATATAGCAAGGGCCGTGTGGAGGCGCGGGCGCGCGGAGGGACTGCTGGGCGCGCTGGGTGGGCATGACGTCACGCACGGAATGCGCCCGCGCCGCCCGCGCGTCTCACGGTCCGCGCCCACGTGGAGCGTACGCACCGCGCTGCGCAACCGCCCGCGCTGCATCACCACTCCTCTTCATTCAGCTACTGGGTACGTCACTCAGGTACGTAATCTGTGCAATTGCCACACTTGCCATCTACTACTGTTCAAACGGTATTTCGGTCAATATGCTCTCAGAAAATCTATAATACAACACGGACTCTGCTAAAGTAAACACTGCGGGATTAATCTCATAATCCGCAATGCTCTGGCGCCGGCGAGTTCGCTTCCTGTAGATAAGAGATTGGGCCAGTATGGACACGTTCTCATGACTACCGCTATGGGATAGTCTCTATAAAGATACTGTCTGTTACGGTAGTTTGCCGACCTCATAATATGTATTACGTAGTGACACAACTCATCACAGTCGCCACGCGACGTGGTGATGGTTAGTAGGATATTTATTAGTGATTAATATACAGAGCACTTTATCGTCTTCTAGGAAATTGAGCGGTGATAATTCAGAAATAGTATTGGACATAGGCTGATTCGAGGCGCCAGGGCGGCCGACTTTGTTCCTTATCTGAGGTCAAACAGTCAATACAATTGTCTCAATTTAATTACTCCATAATAAGGCACCCAAATAGTGGCTTTCTGTCAAGCGGGCCATGTTTGCGACGCGTGTGGGCTCCGCTTGAATAGGTATATATGGCATTAGAATAATGCCTTACAATAATTTCATATGGTAACCTTTCTTTTTCTACCGACACGTTTTACAATTAAAGATTTTACAATATTTTAATATTGAATTACGCATTACTTGCACGGTAATTGAATGATCGAGATTGCGCTTGGCGCTTGTTAGGACTTCGGTCCGTTTAACATTAACATGACCAATACATCAATCTTAGCTGTCATGTCCGTGTTGTTTCACTTCGCCAGCAGACCTGCGAGCTGTGTGACACGGACGCTCATCTTAAAGATGCATCATCTACATCGCAGGACCTTAGAGTTGGAGGTCAATAAAATACAAATTGGATGGTATTTTTTTTTACAATTGCTTTATCTCTGATGCTTGCTAAATACATATTAGTTTATGAATGAATTTTGGCGTCGAAGGGCCTCATCCATCCTCTTTCCTTTAAGCAGTTTGTATTGTGTCAAATTTAGTAAGTTATAGGAAGAGGAGGGGTTTTTGACCTCATCCATATCCGCGCCGGCATCCTCCGTGGACCAAAGCGGTGTTCCGGACATCTGCATATAATGGACCGTGGGTGTGGGCCTCCATTATCCCATCAGAATGCATGAGCATCGTGCGCTTACTTGCACCGACTACGGAGAATCGTTTTGAATCTATTGTTACTATTAAGCAAGACTACAAAATAGCGCCGGCGAAAATAATAGCTAACATTCAATAAAATGATCAAGTTGAATATGTAATAATACAATATTATTTCAAACCAGAAAAAATGTATAAAAACGCAACGCAATTTCACAGAACATTGAGGAGCTTTGTAAACAACTTCGAGTCAAATTAAAAAAAAAAAAGAAAGAAAATACGGGATAATTGCGATATCCAGATATGAAAAAGCAAGCGTCCACTCATTATATTTACAACGTCCTACAAAATCCATTACTATAGAAACAAATGTTAATCTACTATGACACCGTGTAACCGTTAAACAAACTTTGTTTTTAGAGCAATATAAAGACATTTGTATGCATATAAATATGAGCAGTCTCCATCAAGGATGCGATCTTTTGGCCAATTGCGATTACATGGCAATAAGCGCAGTGTTGAATGTCAATGACAGTTATAATAATTGCTTTTCTATAAGTAACTTTTTAAGTTATTGAGAACATGCGTTTTGTTAATCTTACGAACTTTGTTAGCGTTATTATGTTAAAAAACAAAGTTCTTTGTTTGTATGTTGAAACAACAAACTTAAGAAATTTTTTATTAATATTTATGTGTGAATGACTTATTTTACTCATAACTGCACCCGATTTACATTACATTGTAATCAGCTCAGCTTTAGTAATGTTTGGTGTTAACCAGAAGCGGAAAGCAACTTAATCTCGAGAAAGTTGCCAAGTTATGTGGACAGGGAACCGGTTTCGGCTGCCATATCGTAGCGATTTAATCGGTAATGCACTAGACTAGGTTACCAGAAATTTTCACTAATAAAAGTCCTATTTCATTATACATATTTCGTTGTTCATATGTTGATAGTGAAATTCCGGTCTTTACTAAATATCAACGAGTCTTTTTTCTATTATGATTTTATGTTAACTGTGTCAATTTGTGTCAGTTGTCCTATATTAAGACTCATGTTGAGCTTGCGTTTGCGGTTAAACAGCTGTTGCAGCTACTGGCACAGAAGCGAAGGGCAGTGATGAGGAAACACGTGAATGTGCAATCATGTGTGGAGGGCCACGTGTCGCGCTGGCCTGCCGCTGTCGCTGCCGCAGATAATTTATGCCGTAATTCGATTCCAGAAATGCTGCCAACGTTTATGCGGTTAACCTCTGCTGCTGTGCTACAAAATAGACCTACGTTGCTGGGAGATCACACTGCCTACATACATTGTTCTTCCTTTCGGAGCTGTGCGTACGGAATGTGTTATTGCGGTATATGTACTTATGAATGTGATTGCATCTTCGTTATAGTAAACAGTGTCAATTTGGTTTTCTCCACAAAATACACAGAATTTCAAAATAAAGTTACACCTTTGAAAATCGTGGGTGTACAATCATTTATAGGTCTCCGGCACAGCTGCCGGCCGCCCGGCGCGCTCAATGTTTGGACGAGGAAAGACGATATGTGGGAAAAATAGGTGCGACAGAGACAAGGCATAAACCTTCGAGAAAAGGAAAGAATCTACTTGTTTACCAAGAAGGAAAGGGATGAGCGATCGGAAACCACAAGATCTCTCAATTCCACGAGACGATCTCTGTGCGGTCCTGCCAGACATAAAACTTTGTAGAATGGAATTTTTTATTTTCTTCGGAATAACTAATTTTGCATTTTAAACGTTTGCAGATAACTAATGATTCAAGTTATGGGAACAGATGAATAGTAGATATGGAATACATTTCTGAAATAATTATGTAGTGACCGTTTGCAAATTTTCGATAATGACTACGAAAACACAAAATTAATAATATCATCTTTACAATCTCGTGCTTGTTTGTAACCTGTCTTATCTCTTTGAGAAAATCGAACCAAGCTTTTAGAGCCTTTTATTTATCAACAATCTTTTAAATGGGAGTAATTAGTAATTTAGATGAATCAGCCAGCAGTCTTTTCATATTCCTGGGAAAGATTGACTCGGTCATAGTGATCTTTGGTGGTCTGGAATTTCTATTCTGATAGATTTATCAGGCTAGGCACGTTGATGTCTCTATCGACGCCGCTGCACTGGCGTGCGCGTGCGCAGCCAGTCGCCCCCACCGCACCTCGCCCGCTGCGCCTTAATTGCTTCATCTTGCATACGGCCGGCCACGCTCGCTCCTACATTATAGCTAACTGCCGTAAGTTACATTAACCTCACCACGAATTACAGCTGTTTTTATATCTTCTCCAACGTTTTCTACATTTGCGTTTATATTGTCTTATACTACACGTATAAATTAAATTGTACTAGGTATGCGTGATTATCATCATCGTCAGCAAGACGTCGTTTAGTATGAATCTTTCCTTTTGGTACTTTAGCTTTTTAAAAAGTATTTATTTATACGAAACTTCATATCCTTTCAAATCATATTCCGCCGCCTGTATTTTGTCATAAATTGACAATAACAATTACAGTTCACAAGTCCAGGAATTGAGTTGTCTCAAGTTTTCGATTGAATCTTTAAACGGGAAGGTTTCGCAAATGGGCTGTCGGGGGTGGCGGACCACCACAGAGTGCGGCCTTCTAGGAAAGCGCTACCTTCCCCGAACCCGTCTGCCGGCTGCCACTCCTCCAGTCTCGAACATTTCAATGCTCTCTATAAAGTGGAAAGCCGGTGCCGACACGGTAATAATAAATTACCCATTCTCAGTTTTTGTACCTGGGATGTACGGTTACAGAGTTGGTTTTAAGATTGCATTGAATGTTTGTATACTGTGTTTTTTTTTTGTTTATTTTTATATAAGTATGGGGCCCAATACGGAGCAACATAAAATGTAACAAAATAGATAAACAGAAGTAATTCCGATTGAGTATTGCCTAACATACAGATTTATTATGGTAAAATGAAAAGTGTATACATATAAAATATGTACTATTTTTCATTACCAGTATTTTCAGTGGCCTTTAAAAAACCGCGCGGCCTTGATAGTACGCACGGCGACCGCTAGTCAGCGCCACGGTCGAGCCGCACTACCGCGTTCCTTGACGCGACTGACATTCGCAGAAAAACAATCACACGTGCAATATGACAATCGTAACATGACACTGCATTCAAGTGTAGTCGCGAATGGAGTGAACACTGCACCTTTTCAAGTTCGGAGAGTGCTAGAGCCGCATCCACCCAGCTGGTGCGAATGTAAAGGTCGCCGCTGTGGCGGGCCTCGGCGGCAGAGGGAGTCTCGTTTGCGACAGTTGCTATCCGAGGATTCGAAGGAGCCTCGGAATTGGGAGCCACCATGATCTCGGGGCCAGACTTGTCACCAGTATCCTCATGAAGACGGCCGGAGTCCGTCTGGCGGCGCACGCTGTCATATCACTCGTCGCCACATAACCACACACATGCACACCCTGATCCTTCACTTCTATCCACCACAGTAACGTTCGAAACGCGGCCCGATACACCGAGCTTCGAAACTACAACGAGCCGCCAGATCACGTGTCGTCACTGGCGCGACTCAACCGATACTGAATCAAGCACTGCTCGAAAGCGTAGACAGAATGTTTGTTGAGCCGCCATCATGATTCTACCGGTCATGTTGCCGTTCTGAATGCCGAACGCGGTCGAACGTTTCCGGAGACACTCGAACGAAGTCGCCTGAGGACCACACACGTGTAGAGGGTATCTCACTCTCATGATGAGACGCAGAATCCTGAAGGAAAGGAGATGAACTCCCGTATGGCAAAATAAAGGAATGAATGAAGTTGCTGGAAGAACGCCACTGCACTGGTGTCATCAAAAGTACAGTTTACAAATTTACACTCTAATACATACACGTAGTTAATTTATGTCAGACGTTGAAAATAATAATTAATATGTTCTGCTTAGAGATTAAAACGAAAAAGAAAGTTTAGTAAAACTGGCTGAGAATAACACCATAGATGATGAATAATTTAAAGTTATATCTAAAAATAGTACAGATATAAGCAAAATGATTAAGAACGAAGAAGAGCTTTTAAGGCCGAGTACGCTCGACTGACAAAAGTCATTACATCCCCCACAATTACCACAAAGAGAGGGCGTTTGCTAGCCAAACATTCCCTCTGTATACAGATAATAAAGGCGGATCAAACATTCGGACGCACCATATCATTTTGTTTACAGAGTTTTCTTAGTAAAAAGTCGGGCGAGCGCGCCCCAGGGCGGCGGTGCGCCTTTGAAGTGGCCGGCATAAAGCGCCGCCGGCGGTGATTTGACTAATGAATTTATTTAGCGGGTGTGCCGCCCCAGCCTCCGGTCCTCGCTGTGCCATCGCCACACCACCATACTACGATTACCACTTCTAGCTAGGACACTGATCCATTAGCATTACGCGTTCTATTTCAAATACTATTAAAGCAAACAAACTATTACTTTTACTTATTATATTGTATAAAGAGAATAAAAATATGAAATCAAATGAAACTATGACAAATAAAATGGCTCCACTAAAGGAAACCGTTAAATAAAAAACAAAAGCAATCGGAAATTTTGTTAACAAACTATCGAGATAAATGAAATTGCTATAAAAATTACTGAACTCCACAGTCATATTATTTAAACACGTAATAATAGTGCTTACAGTCGTTTTACGACTACATTTACTCGCATGTGCCAGAAATAAAAATAATAATACAGGTTGCAAATAAAAATACTGGCCATTATTGGAAATTAATGTCTGTGATACAACGCAGCGGGAGATTAAACATAAATGAGCAACTTTTTTACAACAACAATAAGAACCTAAATTACATTTACATACCTAAATTGCATAATTACTGAGGCACTATGAGTAAACAGCACCTTATACCAGTTTTAGTAGTCGTAAAACAATATACCAAGCAATAGAAAGCAGTACAATAGTAATTACTGCATGAGATGTATATAAGTGAATGCTTTATATTTGATTATGTAACTATTTCTTTAAAACAGTTAAAATGCCGTTATTTTCAACTTGTAAGGAAAATACTAATATAAGCTACAGATTCATATGCGTATTTGTAAACATTACAGGGTAATTTTCCAGTTATCAATTTTATGTTTCTATTTTTAGATAAATACTTACATGATCATTCTTGGACAATGATAACAAATAAATAAAATGTACCAGATTGAGTTCTTAGGTTTTCGCGATTGTTACACATAGGAAATGAAACTATTTTTCCGGATTTAAATCGCGTATATTTGTTTTTTCGAACAAACCGACGTTTCGTCAGTCAACCGTGTACATGGGACCTGTAAAGGGCCCCGAAACGTCCGTTTGTTTGAAAAAAGAAATATACGCCACCCAAAATCCGGAAAAATAGTTTCATTTCCTAAAATGTACTAGAGTTCCCTTTATAGTAAAAAAAAAGAAAAAGTGTTATTTTTCAAGAATAAATTAGTTTTTAAATAAATTAAGTACTAGATAAAATTAGTACGTATACATGAAATAAATACTTGTATATAACATTTTAATTTACGAAAATTACATAGAAGGAATTTGGTAAATATTTATTTTAAACTGTAATCGGGCCATACGAATAGCATTTTCAAGTAAAGCCAATTTGAAATTATTGAAACACGCAGAACAGAATGGAAGCAATTTTTTGTAACTAATATATTTTATTATTATATTATTTTTAATTTTATTTTTATTATATTTTTTATATTTATTATATTATATAATATATAATATAATAATTAACTCTATGTCAATCGTGTAACGTACAAACTAGATACCAAAAAAATGGGTTTATTTAGTTAGTACGATACACAATTGGCATAAAATTAATTATGCTATGTACAATTTCCATTTCAATTTACAAAAATTAACTTCCGAAGAAAAGAAAGAACAAAATATATATTATTCAACATAAATATTAAAGACTCTTAATAAAAACATTCAATCACAAGACGTAATAAACACAATCACAATAAATAGTACAATCACTAATAAAATCACAGAAAAAAAAAATTAAATTAAAACACAGAATATTCTTATTTAAGGCGAGTTTAGGAGGTGAGGATGGGTTGAGGATGGGCGTCTCTCGTGTCCCGCAATCCACGCAATGTAAATTAACATGAATTAAATAAGAACAGACGGAGAAAATTTGACACAAATCCAACGTCGACAAGCGCCTGATGACGACTGACGGAGCAGCGGGCGGCGCGGCGTGTCGTTAAATAACTATTCATGGGTTATGAATAGTTATTTAACGACACGCCGCGCCACCCTGACTAACTATTCATAACCCAGTTAGGCTACATGAAAATTTGGACACATTTTTGTGAAATTGAGAAAAAAACATAAGATAATATTATTGGGGGGGCCTCATTAAGTGGGAAAAAATAGAAGCGTTAATGTTTATGTAATGTGCGTGCTCTATTCACATGTCACTTTGATTTATGTGAGTATGTAGGCCATGAACGCAACCGCGACTTACCAGGAATCTACAATAATTTAACCAAGTACTGGGTGTTGATATTTTTCGTTATTTCGGCAATGAGGTTAATTGATTCCATCCAATATGTACGAACTCACTCGCAAGCGATCGCACAATCCATCTATCATTTATCATTTTTATTAGTTCTTTTAGCAATAAAACTTCTACATTCTATCAGATTCTTATCAATGAAAGGTGAACAAACAGTACGTCTTTATGGTCCTTCGGGCCGGATAAAACATAGGTACCATTTAAAATGTCATAACTTCAAGAACTCGATTTTGATATGGAACAGCTGTTTGATTTTCTAGATTTGAAAGGGATCCCTACAGTACCTATATGTTGTTCATTCATATTGACGAGTAGATCTAATTAATTCTGTTCGAAGTTAGTAACTTTAGTAGCAGTTGAGCTCCTTGTGAAAGAGTTCGCCCAGCGAAGTACTTTACTTTAAAGAACGTACTATACTACCTTACCTATTTCTGCCGCCAAATAGTAACGTTATCATCACTGTGTTTCGGTTTTGAAGGGTAATGGTGCTAGTAAAATTACAGCACATGGAACTTTTCAACTTGTGTCTCAGGGCGACGCCGACGGGTGCAGTGACAGTACAGTACAGTAGTAGCGATTTTAAGTTCTAAGCGGCACTGCAACTGTTATGGACACGCGTATCGCTTACCACCAGTTGCACGAATTATCGTCCCGTCATTTGGTAACGTAACAAAATAAAATAAATATATACTTGGGCAATTTATTGTTATTGCTTTACGCTTTACAGGTACATTCTATTTAATATAGCGAAAACATTACTAGATAACTTTAAGGCTCTACTCACATTGGTGCAGAGTCGAAGCGTCGCGTCACGTGGCGACGCGCGACGTCATATTTGCATAACACAAACTTGTACCTTAAGAATGGAATAATAGAGATGAATATGCTATAGGCGAAAAACATGACGCGTCGCGACGCTTCGACTCGGCACCAGTGTGAGTTGAGCCTAAGTGTTATCACTATATGTTCTAAGAAACAAATCAATGTTAAAAGTATTGAGTTCTTAGGTTTTCGCGATTGTTACACATACGCGATTTAAATCCGGAAAAATAGTTTCGTTTCCAATGTTAAAAGATTTAATCAAATACTCTAAATACTTAGCCTGGTTTCTACTTCAATGTTTTCTGAGTACCTATAAACATAGTTCATTATTTTATACGTCGTAGCTTTTTTATTTATACAACTTGGGGCTTACACTAAAGAATCGGCCGTTCTAGTCCTTTTTTGCGTCATCGAGCCATAGGTGTAATTCGATAACTGACACTATAAACCCCACCGACGACGGTGCAATAAAATAATCTCTAGCAATCCGATTAACATCTCAAGCCACACCTGATGACAATTCGATTTCACAGTCTTACCTTCCAAGAACTAAGCGAGGTGTTAAAGGAACGATAGAATCGACTATAGAAGAATACAACGTCAATGTAAAGGGAAGATATCGAAATATCGCACCGCTACTATTATAAGTCCTGTCAGATATCATATATCTGCATATTAGTAGCAAAAAAAGTGCATTCTCTCTGCGAAGCAGCATTTAAAGTTGAATTTCGAAAGTAATGTGACTCGTAGATGTGTAAATGTTAGTTGGTTTTTGTAAGGGTAGTTTAAAGCAGGACATTTTGACACTTCGGGCGAAGGCACAGCGGGGTGTCCATCTATACATCTTCTGGGAACATCGCGTGAGGTGCCCGATTGAGACCACAATGTGGAACGATTCAATTATAATCCAGAAATATGTGAGGCAATAATAAATAAGTCTATTGTGCTGCTGTATTTCAAAGTGAGATGAAAAAAGTGACATGCGCGTTTTACGATATCGTAAAAATAAATTGGAATTGTATGTTGTTAAATTTGTCTAAACTCTGTATTTACGATACTGCTTGAACACTCATTTATAATATTCTTTAAGATTGTTAGCTCTACAATAAGCAGGAATTCACGTTATGATAAAAAAGTGTAAGTATTACACGTAAATTCTAAAGATTGTATCAA